TCAAGGTCACAGGAATGTGCAAGATGAAGTTTTTGATGCAGCTGAATAGCTCTCACTAATACATATTAGCTTATTATGTTTGATAAAAATATCTTTAATGATTTAATAAAAGTGAGCTTAACACTTTGTTTTAAGAAAAGAGAAGTCAAAGGAAAGGTTGTGGTCAAAATGTTGTTCTAGCTGAAAAGCTTACATCAGTGTGAATTTACTATTATCAAATGAATTTTGATAAAAATATAATTAATGGTTTATTTGAAACTTAGATAAACACATATTTTAAAAAGTGAGGTCAAGGTCAAAAGAAAATTCAAGGTCAAAATAAGTTAATGCAATAATAGCTCTCATCAGTATGTATTAGCATATGAAGTTTGATTAATATATCTTGAACTGTTTATTCAAAACTGATCTAGTCTAAGACAGTGAGGTCAAGATCACAGGAAATGTCAAGGTAAAAAAGAGTGAAGCATTGTAAAGCTTTAATTGCTTACATCAGTATGTATCATCATGTGAAGTTTCATAACACAACTTGAATCATTATGGTTTCTCTAAAATAAAGCTAAACACTAATTTTAAGAAAAGTTAAGTAAAGGTCAAAGGAAAGTAAAGGTAAACAAGATGTGTTTGTGAAACACTATGCACCCGGCGGAAACAAAGATCAAAAAATCTATTTTTAGCATATTGGTCACAGTCAAGGTCACAAGGTCACTGGCCGTGGTGTCATTTGAAAGAACTTAATCAGTGGAGTATGCATCCCAAATATGAAGTCCCTATCTACTATGGTTTAAAAGTTATGGCCAAAAGTGTAAAAAGCTATTTTTAGCATATAGGTCACAGTCAAGGTCATTGACCATTGTGTCATTTGAAAGAATTTAATCAGTGGAGTAAGCATCCTAAATATGAAGTTCCTATCTCCTATGGTAAAAAAAGTTATGGCAAAAAGTGTAAAAAGCTATTTTTAGCATCTAGGTCACGGTCAAGGTCACAAGGTCATTGACCATGGTGTCATCTGAAAGAACTTAATCAGTGGAGTATGCATCCCAAATATGAGGTTCCTATCTCCTATGGTTCAAAAGTTATGGCAAAAAGTGTAAAAAGCTTTTTTTAGCATATAAGTCACAGTCAAGGTCACAAGATCATTGACCTTGTTGTCAACTGAAAGGGCTTTATTAGAGGAGTATGCATACCAAATATCAAGTCCCTATCTCCTATGGTTCAAAAGCTATGACAAACAGTGGCAAAAGCTATTTTTAGCATATAGGTCACAGTCAAGATCACAAGGCCATTGACCTTGATGTCATTTGAAAGGCTTTATTAGTGGAGTATGCATACCAAATATGGAGTTTCTATCTCTTATGGTTCAAAAGTTATGGCGAAAGTTAAAGTTGACAACAGACAAAAAGACAGACAGACTTGTAAACAGACAAACAGATAAACAGACAGGACAAAAACAATATATGCTTGATGTCATATAGGATCCGGGCGCATAAAAAATATTGCCACAGTTGGATAGTTTACATCAGTATATGCATCAGCATATGAACTTTGATAAAATATCTAGAAAGTAATTTCTTTGAGCTCGATGGAAAGACATATGGAAGGGTGGAGGACGGACATGACAAAAAAATACATGTATTCCTAATCATGGCGTAAGCATAAAAAACTTGAATATACATTATATGAGGATGTTTCCATATCAAGATTATACATGCAAATTCAAAGAATTGTGGTCCTTTACTTTCTGTGTTTAAGTGAATGGGATGCCATAATTTATGGCAGATTGTGTATCAAATATGCATCCCTATCATATGTCACTTTATGAAAATTAGGTCAAAGGGGGGAAATCATCGCATGCTCGAAATATTTTGTTGCAGGTAAAGTACATGTCAAATATGAAAGACCCATCTCTTTTCAATCAAAAGTTATATATATATATAAATATATAATATAATATTTTTGAAAAGTAGGTTAAACTTCTACGTCAAGATCAGAAAGTCAAAAGTCATGATATATTTAGAAAAGTCTTTTCAGATGTAATATACATGTATAATTTAAATGCCATATCTTTTCTCTTTTCAAAATGATATAATTTAAAATGTTATTTTTTGGAAAGTAGGTAAAATTTTGAGGTCAAGGTCTCACTTGGGTTAAAAAATGGTATAGTACATTTAGAAAGTTTTGTGGTAATGTACATGTGAAATAACAAAGCCCTATCTCATATTATTGAAAAGTTATGATCAAGGTTAAATTTATTGTGACAGATGCACATACTGTCAAAGATGGCCAGACTGACAGACAAATAAGATTTATTATTACCTAACTTACTATCTAAATTTTAATTAGGCATTTTGAACTGTTTCAAACGGTTTACTTTATGTTTTTGCGTGATCATGAAACAGTGAACTTGACCGGTCCACAGAATGAACTGTTGACTGCTTAAAGTTTTTCAAAGTGTGATATTCAAGCGTTTTGATGATCAAAAAATCACTATTTACCTGCTCTATAATGAATTAAATTTAAACAAAACACACAAACAATAAATTTATTAAGTATTACTTTAAAATAAAAATATTAATTTAGTCTTTATATTATGTATTCAGCTAATTAATAGACAAGTATGTGAATAAACAATTGTGAAAACTTTTTATTGATTGTTTGTGTGTTTTTATTCCAATTTAATTAATTATATAGTAGGTTAGGTAATAAAACACTTATTCATTTGCTACCGGTGAAACAGCAAATTTCAGTTGGCGGTACAGCCATAACTGTTTCTGGCCTTCGGCCTTGCGTCAACAGTTTCAGAGTCTCCCCCACTACCTCGGACAAGGAGTTTGACTGTTTACCTCGTAGTCATTAAATAAGTGTATAATGTTCCCTCCCTTTCCCCATATTTCTTAACGCAAATCAATATTGTTTTTTTATGTCATTTAATTGTTTGTTTGTTGTTAAACATCCCTCTCAGGAATTTTTCACTCAAATGGAGAATCCGATATTTAAAAATAATGAGGACAAGTCGGATTTGAGGTCAACATTCATTTTAGGATATTTTTAACCATTAATATATCTTTGTGTAAAGAGACAGGAAATCGATGACGTTCCCTTCACCCCATCCCAAGCCCCCTTTATATTCATGACATGTATATGCAAACTACTGCTTGTTTTAACATTTTTAAAAAAATATGTTAATAGCCTATATACAAATACTTTAATGTGGTCCATCTCTTTATATATTTTCATTCCTAATTCTAGGAGGATAGGTTGATGAATGAAATGTCAAGCAATCTTATTATTCATGCACTTTTATTTCATTTAATGCAGTCATATTGTGAACATTTCCAGTTAGAATCATTAGGAGAGTGGGGAAGTTAATATTTTCTGTAAAATTTATACCATTAATATTTACATAACATAATAACACAAAAATTAAAAAATTATGTATTGTCAAAGTGGAAAAAGTTTCAAATTTTTAGGAGTCACATGATCATTTGCCATTACTGTTTACAGGGACTGGAAGTGTATTTTGAGATCCCCCCCCCCGAATTTGCAGGACTATAATATAAAAAAGACTTTTATTCCACCCTAGAAAACAGACACCACCATAACTTCTCCTTTTATTTGCTTTCGAACTAAGTCTTGTGTGCAAATCCCCCTCCCTCTCCGAAAAAAATTCTGTATTTTGTAACTGAATGTAACGTCGATAACGGGCGATAACTCTTCAGAATATTGCAGCATCGGATGACCTTTGAACCTTTAAACTTTAACCTAACCAGTTGCATTTCAGATTATTTTACCCAAATCTATACCAAAACGTGTACTTACCGACTGCCATAGCTCCAACTTCATGAAATATAATCCAATTAAACACAAAATAATTCCAACTGACATACATGCAATGATGTGTACACAACACTAGGCCTAGTACTGCACGTGCAGTGCTATCTAAAAATGATAATGGTAAAACTAGTACTTAAGTTAGGTACGTGACGCAAGCCCAATGTGATACAGGTCTTCAGATACATTTACAGTATAAGAACAAATTTAAAATTATTATTTACAAAAGATGTTTTATCTTAACTTTGCCAAAAAATATAGGCCGATTTCCAAAAACAGGAAAATAGGGTGTGTTTGCGCGTGTGTGTGTTGATGGGAGAAGGGTGCGGAAAAATAAAATTGATTGGGTATATATGGTATATGGCAGCTTTCAAGGTGTTTCTGCCTAATCAAGTATAAAAAAGTTTGTACATTTTGGAAAAAATCATAAAAAACGCTTTAAACTAATTTGAATAATATTTGTTGTTGATCTATATGAGAAAATAGATTTAAAAAGTTTTAATTATGGGCCAAAAATTTACCCCCCCCCCCCTTGATTCAAACCAATTTACATCATTAATTGAATTCTGTTGTTTAATTTCAGACTGGTAATGAATTATGAATATGAAATACATGTACCTATAAGATCGAGGCACCATGGTGACGGGTCACATGTTCACTTTAAAACTATTATGCTCAAAATGAATACATGGAGGCCCTATTATGTAAATTATTAAATTATATTGACTTTTTCTTTGGTAAAGCCTAATTTTAGAGCAGTGTGCATTTAGAGGCAATATACCTTAGTGCATTTACTGTCTCATGACAGCATCTAGTTATTTAGAAGCAGAAATATTTCATATGTTTCTTTCGAATAGTTTTTTGTGTGTATATATACATTTAAAGTGCCTTTATTTATCAGGATTTAAAAAATTATACAAATACTAAATGACTATTTGTGCAAACTGGGTAATAGTTCATGTGTTTGCTTATCTATAACAGATGATATTTGAATACATAGAAAAGCTTCCAGATGTAAAGAAAATGCATGCTAAAGTAGATAATGTACTCATTAACATACAGTTTTAATTAGAGATAATAAGTTTTTTTTTGCTAAAGCAAAAAGTATTGGAGATATTCTAAAAATCCAGTAGTTTGTAGATGGATCACCAAATCCTTGTTTGTATTCTGACCACGTCCTGTAAAAATTTGTAGAACCGTCCTGTCTTCTTTGAATAGCCTGAAACATATTAATTGATTTTTAATTTGTTTTACACTAAGCAACCTTGAGTAATTGAGGAATTGTTTACTTTATTATTCATTATATCAAATTGACAAACACAGATGGATTCTAAGTCATGTATAGGAGTAATTCTTTAAAAATCATTTTTTTTTAATACAAGCGAAGAAAATTTTTACTTAATAAAAATACTTAATATTTTTATTTTATAACATGCGCGATTATCTTTTCTCATTTATTATTATGAGTTGTACTCACCGTAAAAGCCTCCCCTGCTAAATCTGTCGTCATGTGCGTAAACAGTCTTGATCCCAGAGCCTACGGATATTCTGTATATACCATCTCGACCCTTTAAACTCGGGAAAGTCTTTAAAATCTCCCTGCAATCCTTCAGAAGCACTATGCAAAATATTATAAAATTGCCACAAATAAATGTTTAGGACACTTATAAACTTCAATGTTATACAGAAAATACTCAAGTAATTGTGGACTGACTGAAATTGTGTGGTGAAACCTGATTAGGAATTTTTGTCTGCAATTATCCCCTTTTTCCGAAATAAATATTGTGTAAACCAAATTCACCTTGTATCCACATCTGCCAAATGACCCACAGTAAGCATTTGGATATGACTGAACAAGAGGAATATACATTTTCAACTCTTTTTTCGATTATTACGACTGAATGCAAATTACTTTCGCAAAGTGAAAGGTCAAGTACCTTATATGTATTGCCCACCATTTTTTTTTAAATCTATTTGTTTTGCTTTGGCATTATTATATGTCTTGCCAATTTGGAGTTGGTTTCTTTTCTCTATAAGCTGGCATGTATCCCCTCAACCCCCATCCCCTGAAAAAATTTCTGGAATAACCTTTAATTCTATTAAATTAAGGTAAGTCACTCCTGAAATTTGTTAAATCAAGGATTTTTTGAGAAGTATATTTTGGATGAGTACTCATAAAGTGTAACTCAAAATCGCAAAGAAAATAGGGGTCAGTGTGCATCTTACTGATCTACGGTACATCTAAATTGACATTTTTGCACTTAAATTTCATCTCTTTGGTCAATTACTTTAACCCATATTATATTTTATCAGATGTAAGCATGGCAATAAACATAATATTATTTTACGTAAATAGTTTGAATAATATTCATCATTAAACAAATTTTGCAAATTAATGCGCGTAAATTATTGTGTGACCTTTTTGCACTAAAAAATAACATATTTGGGTTATTTAAAAACTTAATAGGCAATAAAAAATAGGCAATCAAAGAGACTTAAGTGCTGATCATTCACAAGTATCAGTAGTTTAAAATAATGAAAGAAAAAGGTGGGATCAGTGATGTTTATTTTGAAATATTTGTTAAAATATGTGATTTTCAGGCAAAAAATGGTGTAAATTTGATCTTGACTTGTTCAATATATTTTCATTTTTTGGAAAAGTTTGTTGAGGGAAGGTGTAAAACTTAGTCTAAAAATATAAATTAAGACCTATACTAAATATTTTTTAGCAATATCAAAACGGAAAATATTCTCCGAGTAAAAGTATGTGAGGCTAAATTTCCATTACATTAAATTTTATAAATGTGCAGATTTGCAGAATTTTCTGCCAAATATCCTTCCAAAAAGAAATAGTCCCTCATAAATCTTCATTCTTTGTAGATTTTTGAGCAGTTTTTTTCGTTGAATATTAAAAAATTTACATTGTTGAATTTAAATATGTTATAACAATTGAATTTTAATAAGTAGTTTTGAAGTAAAAGCTTCTGCGTGAACTTTTCTAAAACGCTGACGAGTGACATACCTTAATGACATTTTTAAATGTTTTTCCCAGTATATATTCAGGTTCAATAACATACATATTCGCATACTAGAGTTTAATTTAATGGGCCAATGAAAATTCCACTTGCAGACATTCAAAGACGTCAGCAATCTCACATAATATATTACATCCGCTCTTGAATAAATCAGTTTTCAAAATAATTTCATTTTACTTTCTCTCTATCTTTTCTTTCTTTAAAAAACTTTTCAAAGTTTCTATTTTCTATTTCTAGGAACAACAATAGTATTTTATTATAATTTATTCATGTTGTTTCTTTTTGTATTTTTTCTATTTAATTCTATTTATTTCATTTGTTTTGATGAATTAATATGGTTATTTTTTTAAACAAAACAATCTTCTGATTAGAAATTAAAAATGTATTCTAAAAAGAAAAAGAAAAAGTGCGATGAATTAATTCCTCTGTATCATTTTGAAAGAGAAGATATTTCGAAAAATCTCCGTGAACAAATAACGTCTTGACTAACAGATTGATCAAATAAAGATTCGAACATTATTGTGGTTTATGTGGAAGATGATACATATTGTATGGTGTACAAATGTCTAAAAATATATCTCATGAATGATTTCGAAGAAAAATCATATCTACATTTATAAAAGAAAAAGTTTACACGATTATTCTAATGTACAGTTCCTTTCTTCAAGGTTTGCTTCAATCCTTTACTTTAGAATTCAGTTTAGTTGTCTTAACTGAAATAGAATTTAATATTTTACCTTTTGACAAGAACCAGCTGGATTCATTAACATCCCCACAAACAGTGTGTAAAGTTTCATTTACAGAGACGGAGAAATTTTCTAAAGCGTACTCTGTCTTTTTCACACGATCAAAAAAACTGCTTACGCTGCATTTCTGTAATGTTACATTCATTGCATTCATTTGATATTGGAGCATTTCAATTTGCGGGCTTTTAGCGGAAACCATTTGCGATTCATTTAAAGCCTTTATTTTCTCTTTTGTATTCTGTTCCGTCATCTTCAATGTCTGTAAGACTTTTTTCAAGTCACTTCCCAATGTCTTTTTTGACAAATCAAGCTGTTCTTGGAGACCTAAAACTTTTTTATCAATCCTCTGTTCAAGATACTGAATTTCTTCCTTTGTAAAGTTTCTATTGTCATTCACTGTCCCGTACACCTCCTTTAATTCTTCTTTAAGTTTGATATTTTCTTTCTCAATAATTTGGCTTTTAGTCTCCAAATCCTGCAGTTCCTTTGTCACCTCACTGAGTTTTGCCTTGATAACTTGTCCATCTTTTTTGCTGTCCACGGCATCCATCACTAGACCTTGTATTTTTTGTACCATAGAGAAGCGGACCAGACTTTCCTGATTCAGAATGTCACGTAGGACATTGGAAGCTTTACCGGATACAGTACTAGGGAGCAAACCTTTTTGATCAGAAGCTTCGTTTTCAATTAAAGATGAATCACCAAATGTTCCATACAGAAACATAGACAGAATAAAGCTTAGTACTTGTAGAACACCCATCTTTGCAGTAACTTTGGATGTTTAGAGGAGCCCTTTATATGATGTGTGTTAAGGATATTTTGAAATCTTATCAACTCATACAACCTTAAAATGTTAAGTGTTTTACGCTGAAAGGATGCCCTGATACTTGTAAAGCTTTCATATAAAGAATGTTATCTTTGTCCAAATTTTAAACATCTGGAATTCAGTGAAGGATGTACTAAATGAACAATAGATGTAATAGTGTTCTTTCTTAAACATGATTTGATACTTGAGACGCGTACAAAACAAATTATCTTTGTGCAATGTAAGCAAATTATCCGGAGTATAATGACTTAAAATGAAACACTTATCAAAAATTAAATAAAATTAGCTGAATGTATAACCTTTTCTTAAAAAATTAAAAATTGAGAAATATGCTCATGACATTTGGCCCTTAAACATATAATTCTTGATAGGTATAGCCAACAAATCATTCTTCAAAATCTAATTTCCGGCATCGAATTTGACGGTGTCCCATACAAATACAAAGTGTTTAATATTTATAGATCTGCTATATTTTCTGTAACATCTGAAGTAGAAAAATTAAAAATGTATTGTATGTAAAAGAAAAACTGATAGTAATAATTGAGAAAACGCTCATGACATTTGACTCCTTCAACATATAATTCTTGATAGATATAGCCAACAAATCATTCTTCAAAATCTAATTTCCGGCATCGAATTTGACAGTTTCCCACACAAATACAAAGTGTTTAATATTTCTAGAACTGCTATTTTTTCTGTAACATCTGAAGTAGAAAAAAAATGTATTGTATGTAAAAGAATTGATTTTGATATGCTTTCAAATGAGATTTATAGGCAATAAAGTCCGCTTATCTGAGGTGGGATTGGTCAATAGGGGATGCTTTCTTCACCTAAGCACCTGATCCCACTTTGTGCTTTCTGGCGTCTCCATATGAGTGAAAAATTCTTGAGAGGGACGTTAAACAATATATAATCAGTCAATAAATCAATCAATCAATCAATCAATCAATCAAGAAACGTCTTTGTTTGCATCTTATTTAAAAGTATCAAAGATAAGGATGCTGTTGAATCTTTTTCTTTTTCACCCTGTAGATCCACTTGACTTTGTAAGTAAATGCATTAACGGATTGGCTTTTGAATCAAAAAGCTACTCAAATTGATGGTATTTCAGCTAGAATTGTTAAACTTAGCCATGGAATCTACATATTGAACCCTGTGACCAATATTGTAAATTTTTGACTTTTCTAAAAATGTTTTTCCAGAACGTATAAAATTGCACAAGTGGTTCCACTTCACAAGAAGCAAAGTGTTTTTGAAAAAGGAAACTATAGACCAGTTAGCATTTTACCTATATGTCAAAGATTTTTGAAAGGGTTATTTATAGTCAATTGTCTGATTTTTTCAGTTGCCATTTTAATGATATGTTATCAGCTTTTAGACCAGGCTATGGTTGTCAGAGTGTGTTGCTAAAGATTGTTGAGGATTGGAAATGCCCTTGATCATAAAAAATATACAGCAGAAATTATGATGAACAAATACTATCTAAATGCATTTGAAATATTTTATTGGTGATCATGATCTAGTTTATAGCAAACATTTAAAGACAATACGGTTTTACAAATGTCGTATTCTTTTTTGGACGATAAAATTAAGTTTTCGAAAACAGTCTGTAATATGTGTTTCAGTTTTTCTATTTTTTAGAATTGACAAATGCACGAAACAGGGTTCAATACTTGGTCCTGTTATTTTTAATATTTTGTATTATCCGCAATTTTTCATTTTGTCCCAGATTCAGACTCTAAACTACGCCGATTCTGACAACACTCTTTCAAATACAAGTGACGTATTGCCACCAGTGAAAGTTATGACCCCGTGCTAAGATTTTAAGATTCTAAAATACACACTGTATCAATTATTTTACTAGAGGCATGACCGGTTATAAATTGTCCTTAGTTTTTATGTATCAATTAGTAAATACATATTTTTTCTATTCTATAAACATGTTTTTTAATATAATCTTTATTCAATTTGCTTCAATATATAACATCTGCATTTTTGCACATTAAATTTTATTGAATTCTTTCAATTGGTATATTTTGTCTTGTATTTAAGGTGTTTTATTGTAAAATATAGGATGAACATACATTATTAATTATCAGACAATTGTTAAAAAAGTATTAACCACCTGCAAGCCAGGGATTGTGATCATATCATTCTGTAATAATAAATCCCGTATTTGATTTCTGTTTTCCAGTTCTCTCCACTTCGAATTCTCAAGTTCAATTTAAACCAAAATCGTCGATTTTTGGTGGTGAACGAGAGAGAAGAAAAATGAAAAAAAATACAGGAAAGAGCACTGCGGTTTGTTTATGATGACTACAAAAATTCATATAGTTATCTTTTGGACAAATCAAATTTACCATGCCTGAAACTCAGGCGTATTAAAACAATGGCCATAGAATGTTTTAAGATTTTAAACAAGCAAAGCCCGTCTTTCCTGCATGATTTTATTCATATTAAAGAAATACCTTATTCTTTAAGATTCACGAAAACTGCTGTTTTACCAAAAACAAGATCAACAATATATGGGTTGAAGTCTTTTAGATATGAGTCTGCAAAACTTTGGAATTCTTTACCAGAATCTTTTAGAAATATTACTACTTTTAATCAGTTTAAATCCAACATAAATAGTTGTACGGAAATTGTTGTAATTGCTGTGCCTGTCGCTAATTTTATTTGTAGAAACTAGTAAACAGGGATTTAAGTTATTTCCGGTTGTCACTTTTAATGTGGTGAATACTGTCACTGTGAAACACCACGGAGGAATAGTGATATTTTTTAGTAGTGTGATGTAAGTTTTAAAAACTGTTTCTTTTTATTAAGGTCTTCCGTTTCCAACGGAAGACCTTATTGTTTTCGTTCGGTTTCTTTTTCCCTATTATTATTAAGGTCTTCCGTCTTCAGCGGAAGACCTTCTTGTTATTCTTAGGTTTCTTTTCCACTATTTTTATTAAGGTCTTCCGTCTTCAGCGGAAGACCTTCTTGTTATTCTTAGGTTTCTTTTCCACTATTTTTAGGGTCTTCCGTCTTCAGCGGAAGACCCTTCTATTATTCTTATGTTTCTTTTTCAATTTTCTTCTTCTTATTATTATTATTAAGGTCTTCCGTCTTCAGCGGAAGACCTTCTTGTTATTCGTTTGTTTCTTTTCCACTGTTTTTCTTATTATTTTTTTCTTACCGATTTTGTGCACGCGATTTCTCAAAAACGGTTGGTTATATTTTTACTTGATATCTCGAAAAGTATTGACAATTTGTAATACTTCAAAGAAGCAAAGTTGTTCAAAATGACAAGCTTAATCTATTTGAGTCGTCAAAATACGTCCGGCGTCGTCACTTGCGGCCAAACCGGAAGTAGTCAAAAACGCGTATTTTTGCCGTTCTTGTCAAGTTTTTTGAGTAATATATAACTCTTGGAGCATAAAATTAATTTTCCGTCCGTCGTCGTCACTTCCGGTTAAACCGGAAGTAGCAAAAATTGCTTATTTTTTGCATTAATTAACATAGCTTTAGAGGATTCAAACCATTTTTGGGCGTTATTTCTCATTTTTGTTGAAAATGAAAGCTACTTCCGGTCAAACAGGACGGAAGACCCTACTCGTTGCTTTGCAACGAGCTTTGCTCTAGTTATCATTATTATTCTTTTTTTCTGCACAAATTTTGTGCAGAGGATTTCTCAGAGATGGTTGGATGGATTTTCTTCAAATTTTCAGGGATGATGCTAGATGATCTGAAGTTTATACCGGCTGAAAATCACTTCAGGTCTAGAGTTATGGCCCTTTTTTTAAAATTCAGAGGACCTTCTTGTCCGTCACATGATCTCGAAAACGGCTTGAGCTAGAGCGCTGAAATTTTCAGTGATGATAGAAGACATGTTCCCATGTTACTGGGATTTTGGATAGTTTCCCGAAATACATAGTATGGAAGCTCGGTAGGGGTCAAAATTTAGGATACCTTTTATGAATGATTTTTTTTAGACATTTTGCATCATATCTTTTGAAATATAATTATTTTGTTAAAACATAATGAACAATATTTGTGCAAAATCACAAGATCTTTAAGAGGATACCTTGAAAAAAGTGCTGAGTCATCACATTAAGGGCAAATAGGGGCCAAAAGTCTTCAATCGATAACTCTTTAGTAGTAAATATTTTGTAATACATTACTGTAGCAAAAATGTTTATCTCAACAATCTACAATTATGCATTATAATTTTCATGTCGTATGGTACATAATTAGGGGCCACAAGGGGCCAGAATGCTAAATCTTTGTCGCTTTATATCTCGAAAGTGAGAAATATTCTGATAAGTAATATTGAACAAAAGATGTTCAAAATCATGCTCTGAACAATATGCAACCTTTTATTTTTTGCTAAACGTCCCCATTAGGGTGTTGAAGGGTTGGCCCCTAAATATGTCTTTTGCAAATAACTCGAAAACGAAAAAGAATCTCTGAATAGTTGTTGAACAAAAAGTGTTCAAAATCCTAAGAGCTTTCAGATGAAATCAAGAAAAAGGGGCTGGGCACTAAAATTAGGGGCCAAAAGGGGCCGAGAGTCTTCAATCGATAACTCTTTACCAGTTAATATTTTGTAATACATTACTGAAGCAAAGATGTTTATCTCAACCATTTACAACTATATATTATGATTTTTATGTCGTATGGTACATAATTAGGGGCCACAAGGGGCCAGATTGCTAAATCTTTGACACATCATATCCCGAAAGTGAGAAATATTTTGATAAGTAATATTGAAGAAAAGATGTTTAAAATCATGTTCTGAACAATATGAAACCTTTCATTTTTCGCTAATCGTCCCCATTAGGGAGTTGAAGGGTTGGCCCCTAAATATTTCTTTTGCTAATAACTCGAAAACGAAAAAGAATCTCTGAAAGTTGTTGAACAAAAAGTGTTCAAAATCCAAAGAGCTTTCAGATGAAATCAAGAAAAAGGGGCTGGGCGCTCAAATTAGGAGCCAAGAGGGGCCAAAAATCTTCAATCATAACTCTATAGTTGTTAATATTTTGTAATACATTACTGAAGCAAAGATGTTTATCTCCACAATTTACAACTATATATTATGATTTTCATATCGTATGGTACATAATTAGGGGCCAAAAGGGGCTAAAATTCTTTTTTCGATAACTCTTTTACAGTCAATATTTTGTTATACATTACTGAAGCAAAAATGTTTATATCAATACTCTACAACTGTATATTATGATTTTCATGTCGTATCTTACATAATTAGGGGCCACAAGGGGCCAGAATGCTAAATCTTTGAAGCTTTATGT